AGAAAGTGTGGAGAGAAGAGCAACAAAGATGACAAAGGGTCTGGAGGCTAAATCATATGATGAACAGTTGAGAGAGCTAGGTATATCTAGCCTATCAAAAAGAAGGATCAGGGATTAAAGGGTTGGACTACAAAACCTCCAGCGTCCCTTCCAGCCCTATGATTTTATGTTCTATGTTGAAGTACAGTAACAATAAGTAGTATGATGACAGTAATGCTATAATAGTGATAGCACTGATAATAGTTGTCAGTCTTTGCATGGATTTTGCTGGTACATTATTTTGAGACAGTCAGCAGTATCCTCCAGAAGACCTGATTGCAAGTCTGAAACAAGCCCATGTAGATTTCTTCAATTACTTGCATGAGTTTTTGCCTCATGTTCAAGAACTATGCTATGAATGGACACTATCACTTTTGGAGCATTTTACATTTCTTTCTTTTTCTGTTTGCCTGTCAGATGTTTAATATTGGCCCAGCCAATACTGGTAGAAATACTCTTCTTTCAAGATAATAATCCATGCATCTGCTGAAATGATCTGTAATGAGTTTATGTCATTGTAAAACCCTGGTACCAATCTGGTACACCATTTCTATTATGTTATCTGACAATAAATAGCTATTCTGTTTGTTTGTTTGTTTATTGAAATGCTATTTTTTAAAAAAAAAACATTTTATTATTTATTAAGCAGCTAAAATGCATACCGAGATCCTGGTTATGAGCTTTGTCTTGTCCTTCAAAGTACAATAAACTGTAGCCGCTCCAAAGTTGGTTCATGCCCTCTGGACACATTGGCTCTTCAGCAGATTGGCTGTGCTTCACAAGAAGATAACCTATGTTAACACTGCGGCCTGGCATACCTTGCAGTCCAGGAGTACCAGGAACACCTGCTGCACCTATAAATATAAAGGCAGGATGTTGCTTTTAAAGGTATTGCCACACACAGTCTAAGAAAATCATGGCAACTTTATTTACTATTGAAAACTCTAGTATAAGTAGAAAAGAATCTAGAGCTGTTCAACTGAATTTATTTGCGCTGATTCTGGTATTGTATAGCAGTTACCAAAAGGTACTTCTCCAATGCCAAAAGATACTCTGCATTTTGAAAATAACAAGGTCTCTTTTTCTGGCTGCGAACCCATTTGGAGTCCTCAGAGCATGAGGTTACAAAGCTCCCATTTGTACAAGGAAGTTAGCCCTTTTCCTAGAAGATCCCTCCCACCCAATGGGACTTTTATGGCATTCCTAGAAATGCCAAAAGGCTCGTATTGTGCATTGTGCTTTGTAGCATTCCAACATCTGTTTCATGTATTTTGTTCAAATAATACATTTAAATGATCAGACCATGCCAGGTGTGTTATTAAGCACTAAGAAGGGTGACCGAAGCATGTTATATCCATGGGCATTATACATCCATCTCTCTATGCTAGTCTCCAAAGGATAAAGGAAGGTCCTTAAAATAATAGCAAATGCAGAGATGCTGTGGAGGGAAAAATATGTGGTTGTTGGAAGGAACTGCAGGTTGACATTGCTCCTTTTGCACTGACTATAGTGTGCAGGCAGTCTTTGGGGTTGACAGCATTCGGCATACAGTAGTACTCATAAATACATACTCCTGAATATCTGGGAAAGCTGAAGCTCTACTATGGGATGAACCATCCTCTTCATTTCTGCAACCCTTAGATATTATTTGCATACCATGCTTAAAAGTTAAAAATTCCAACAAAAAGTTCGGTTAGATACCAAGTTGTTATATAAAAGCAGGCAACTTCTATAGGTAACTTCAGTAGGATCTGCCAGGCTCACTATTCCGTCTGAAAGGTTTATTTTAACACTCTTTTAATAATAGTAATTTAAAAAACTGATAAGCTCACATGAAGCAAACTATCAGACTATGATATCATTTTTTTCCAATAATACTTAACTATTTATTTAAAAATCAAATTTAATAAACATATTATTTAAAAAAAGTAGGTTAAACACCATCTGAATTACTTCTTGCGTGAGAAAGGCATGGGATGTCTATTCTAAATTTATGCCCTCTTATGCATCTTTCAAATAATGGCTGCTTAGGTGCCTTATCTTAAAAAAAAAAACCTATATTTTTTTCTTTAGATTATTTTGGCTCACATTTACATGTACACATATTCAACTGACCTACTGCAGTTGCTATCCTTCATTTATTTAACTGGGGAAAATATATATGAATAGATTGGATGCAGAATTAAACCTTCAATTAGATGAACTGTCTAAGATACAAAAAAAGAGAAGAACTTTAGGATTTACCTTCAAAGCCTGCTGGGCCGTGCAGGCCTTCTCCTCCTTGATCACCTCTGAAGCCTGGAGATGCAGGTATACCTCCTCCTCCTTGTGCTCCTGGTTTACCTATGGGGCCTCTAAAACCTTAAAAGTAAGGTTATAAAACAGAATAATTGGCTATGACATTTTATTACATAGTTACTATGGTAATAATTATTAAATCCACTCAAGATCTTTAAATAATGGAAGATGTATGTNAGACTCCAGTCCCCTAATCCTCTTTCAGTATTGTGTTCTTTCTTCCAGGTCGGGAGCAGTTCCACGGCCTTGGGTCCATGTACTGCCGAGGAGCAGCAGCTGTCATTCTCACATATGATGTAACTAACTTACAGAGCATGGTGGAACTTGAGGATAGATTCTTGGCATTAACAGATTCCGCCAGCCCAGATTGTCTCTTTGTTATTGCTGGGAACAAAGTTGACCTGACAGATGCAGGTGCCTCTTTGCCAGAATCAGAAGACAAGCATCAGTTTGAGAAACCCTCCAACAGTTCCATTTCTACAAAGGTGAAAAAACAAGTCCATATGAATGATGCTGCTGCATTTTATAGGAAAATCCTCAAGTATAAAATGTTGGATGAGGTAAATGCTCCAGCAGCAGAAAAAATGTGTTTTGAAACTAGTGCGAAAACTGGTTATAATGTGGACCATCTTTTTGAAAATGTATTTGAAATGATACTACCGGTAATTTTGCAACAAAAAGCTGAAGGCTTGCCACAAACAGTAGACTTAAATAACTGCAAGACTGCTAAAAACACACACACTGCATGCTGCAGATAACTCTGAATGCATTTTTACACCAATTGAAGGACAATGCAGAAAAAGTTTTACAACAATGCAAAAGTGTTACAATACTGCAAAGAGAAATGTTGAATGAAGACAATGCAAAAATAACAAGGGCAACCAGACAAACTGCATCTTCTATAAAAATGAATTTTTGTAACAATTACTGTAAATGATGTAATGAGAAAGAAACTTCAGTGAAGGGGAGCTTGGAGTCAATTATTGAAAGCTTTTAAAGTCCACTGTGATTTTTTTGCCCCCTGCATTAAATTTATGATACTATATGCTGTTTTACACATGAATCTTTAGTATTTGTTTTGGCAAGAAGCTTTTGATATGAGGCATTCACTATGTAGAGGAATTTATAAATGAAGAAATAGATTTCAGGAAGGAGATAGCTGTTGATCAGCCATTTCACACCATATTTTTTCAGCAAAATAATAACTAATTCTTTTCTTTTCTCCCTCCTCATTAATTGCATGGTTGTGGGCCACCGGAGCCAGACCAAAAAAGGAAGTCAGATGAATAGAATGGGATTGGATCACTGTCAATATAGAGTCACTATCAATATAGGCCAGACATTTGTTAGGCAAAAATTTATTCCCCATTTCTCCTATAACAAAATGCACCCAAAGGAATTCACAAAGTAGTCTGCAGTTTTAGGTTAATCTGAACTCAAGGGTGAATTGGTGGTATTGGAACTAATAATGTTTATAATTGTACTATTAGCTTCAATCTTTGAAATTCCAGGGGCTTGATGAGTTATTTATGTTCTAAATCAGTAAGAGTGGATACTTTTGGTTATTAGTAGATCAGATTCTGGTGAAATTATTTAAACATATTTTTGTTAAATTATGAATAATTAACAGAGTCATAAAAGTGGATGTGAGTACATGGCTAGGGGGAACATTTAATTTGTAAAAGTGGGTGAGGACAGGGAAGAAAATAGATGTGTTTTGTTATGGAGATGATTGCAATATAACAGGAACTTGATTGTTAGAGAATCAAAATTATTTTAATACTTTGGTTGTAATCAGTGATGACAATGTATTGGTGATAGTAGTGATTTTTCAATGCTGTTGTTGGGGAATTATATAAAAATATCAACTTAATTTTTTCCTTGTTAGGAGATTACTTTTTCTAAAGATCTGCAGTTATCTCCACATTTTCTGAATGTAAAAGAAGTTACTATGAAGCTGATCAATCTATTGACACAAAACAGCTCTTTACCTCTGTCTATTTTTTAAACTATTTATATTTGCAATAAAATTTACTAATTACTTTTGTGACAATAATTGATAAAACTAGAGATTATAGACTAAAGTATGCCTGGATTATATATTTTGTGTCTGAATCCCAAATATGGTACATTATTATGGTATTTATTTTAGGACTGAGTTCTGGCAGGAAATAGCAGTGCTGAGTTCATCCTTGGAGGAAATAGATTTTAATAGTAAATGAAAAATGAGCCTGGAAATCCATAAAAAATCCATAAAAAAATCATTGGGCCTCTAAATCCCCATAGTGCTCTTCTAATTCTGAAACTTTTTCAGTCTTTGTCAGATATGTAAGAAATAGATCCACAGAATTTCCTTAAATATGAAGAATTTAAATTGATTTGAATGTGTGATTACATGCTCTGCATCTAAAGGTGATGCTTTAGATATGCACATTTCCATTGCAACCTCTGTGCTGCTACAGTTTACTAGACAGTGACATTGGGAATGCCAGGGCTTTTAAAATAAGAGCTCCATGGATTCTCTTGCCCTGTCCCCTTCAAGTCACTTCATATATGGGTTGTTTCTTTACATGGGGATTCTTTTTCTTTTTTTAGGATTTAAGTTATGTCTTATAAAACCTGTACCAATTCAGTAAGAAAACGATACTTTTATTTATCACACAAAATAAAACACTGATCCTTAGTACAAAGGAGAAACACATGAAAGGAAATTTGAGCATTTCTTATTCAGGATTTGGTTTGGGAAGGAAACACTCTGGGGAGCAGTGGGAAGTCCCAAGTGCCCAATTACAGATTAGTCTGGGCAGCTGCCCTATTCCTGCCACCCAAAGAGGGTTGTTGCCACTTGTCGCATTGAGATTCTGCCTCCTTTTCATTTGCTTATCCATACTGGTGAAGGAATTGGGGATAGAATCTGATTTACTCAACAATTTTATGCATGTTTACTTGGAAGCCAGTCAAGCTTCATTTGTACGGTTAAGTATGCACATAATCACAGCTTTGGTATTACACTGCTATGAGAAAAGTGTGTTTTTCACTTTCCCAGGCACAGTCCTAATTCCTTCTGTGCAGAGATGCCTTTTCTGTCACTCACTTCCCTCCCAAGAATATGATACTAATTGAGTCTCTCTTATCATCCTTATATTGGGAAGACTGACAAATGTCACATTCCTAAGTATGGATGGACTCTCACAAATCTTACTAAATGGTACTCTCTAGGGGAGTGGTTCTTGACTGTAGCTTTAATTGCAATTGCTGCAAGGCACAGTTTTCTAAACACCTTCCCTTTGTGCTATTCCTTAAATTATGAGATTATTATGACAGATTCTGTGATACCCAGTAATAATTGAAGAGAATTAGCCAAAGTACTATTTGCCAAAGTACCTTCAGATATGGATTCCAAACCACAATTTCTCATCAACTCAGGTAGAATATCAACATCTAAAAGGCCATAGATTATTTATCTACAAGCCATACTAAAGTTATATTAAATGAATTCTGGTCTAATGGGCTATGCCTATCCATTGAGGATATTGCATAGAATAATAGTAGATTGCATTCAAAAAAAGTCAAGTGACACATAAATAAAGCTTATTGTTCATTCTCTGCAGACTTTTGAAATTAGGCACTAATAGCAACAGGATGTTTACTAAAGTAACTGTATAAAAATAAAGGCCTTGAAATATAACAAAAATATATTCCATGCAGCCATAAAACATTGCTGTTCTGTTGTATTTGTAACCAAACAACTCAGCTAAAACAGAACTCGCTTAGAGCAAGCATACAGCTTATTTTTCACTGTTTTGAGGATGTTGAAATGTCATTTTCATTTTAACAATATGAGTTTGCTAAATACAGTTTAAAATCCTAAATTCCAACATAGTTTGCATTTGTGTTTAAATGTTTATTTAATACTCAATGACTAAGAGTTAGTAGAGTTCAGTAATACATTGAAAAAAAGATAAATATCATTTGACAGTAAATCAGATTTAAATGACAGCAAGTGTATTTAATAATGAAACATTGTCTATTGTTTTATTCCCATAACAGACTGTATTATTTGCAGCATATAAAAGCAAACTCACAATAACATGAACAAAGGCTGAACAATTGTTTGGTTATATGTACTTGCAGTGTTTGTTCTTCCAGATAACAATGGTGTTCAAATGATGAGGTAATAAGTTAAATAAGCACCAACAAAATCTAATTCATGCCACTTTGAAGTGACATTTCTTTTTTGGAAGGGAGGGGGTTGTTTGTTTTACAAATTTTTCATACACACTTGGCATCTGCTTATATGTGTTCGGATGAGTCCAGCCTTGAGTGTATCTGGAGGTGGTGAATGTTGAAATTGATTGTCAATGGTGGTAAGCCAAAAACTGTATTTGTTTGCAAAGTAGTGGCAGGTCCCCCGAGCACCATTGCACTCAATGAATGGTGTGGCTCTGAAGTCTTCTAGGCAGCTACCTGGAGAAACCAGTGACTGCCCTCCGCCTTCGGCACCAGCTGCAGTGTGCTAGAAGAAACCAGATGACAACAATTCAAATATAATACAAAAAGTACATTACAGGTAGTGGTGATCATAAAAACAGGAGGAGACTTTTAATATGCTAGCTTTCCTCTCAGGGAAGGAGGGATATCCTTCAAGTGTGGGGTAACAAAGGTTCCATATGCCCAGTATTGTCCATTACAGTGGTGGGTTTCAAAAAAATTTTCAAACCTACTCTGTGGGTATGGCCTCCTTTGTGGGAGTGGCTTGCCGGCCATGTGACCTGGTGGGAGTGGCTTGCCGGCCATGTGATCTCTCTCTCTCTCTCTCTCTCTCTATCTCTTTCCTTCCTTTTGTCTCTCTGTCCCTTTTT